CTCTGAGCAGCCACCGTCCAGTTACTAGCAACGCGCCACTCATATCTGCCACACTGCCACACGGCAACAACACATAAGTATTGCCCGCTGTCAGCACTCGTGGTGTTCGCAACAGTCAGGCTGAGGCTTTTATGAGTAGAATTGAAGTCTGCAGTGGTGAACAGTCTTCCCTGGATGTCTTGGGCAATGCAGCAGTGCTGCTTAATAACCAAGTTTGGGGACAGGTCTTCAGTTGTAGCAGAAAAAAGACATTCACTTGTTTTACTGACTCTGATCCAGTACATAAAAAAGTTCTGCCCTGGGTTGCTAGTGTGAAAATTACAAGTCAGGGTGATGTTATCTTTTTCTTTGAATGTGAGAGAGGCTTGTGATTTTTCCTGAACGTTGTCAGACCTCTTGCTCTCTGAAACAAAGGGGAAAAATACACAACAGATATTGCAGACAAGACTTCTCTAGCAGTAGTTTGAGAAGTGTGAGAGTTATGTGACAAACAAATGCCATCTTGAGCACAACTAAAACAACGATTTACATGTAATTCAGCTAAAATATTTTTGTGGTGTGTATTCCATGATTAGCCCAGGCCAATCCACATGCAGTGCAGGAGCAAAGCCCCGTGAAGTGACCCTGCCATGGGGATAAATGAGTTCCAGGCAGCGGCCTGGGCCAGCCAGGCCCTTTCCTGCACTTGAAGGAGGCCCACGGCGTTATTTCTTCCGTGTGTAATCTCAGATCTTAAATGGGACTAACCTGCTGTCAGTGTCCTCTAAGTACATTTAATAAGCTTGTAGAAGATTGAGAAATAAGAAAACAGCTATTTAAGCCCAGCTACCTAAGGCAGTCCAGCTGTGCTAGACATGAAATAGTGCAGTGGGAGGACAGCAGCCATTTGCTTGTACATGTAGATTACTTCACTTGCTATAGAGAAAAAAGGCTTGACTATCTGAAATTTAAGTGACCAATTTTCCATTGCACCATTAACCAGCAAAAGCACGTAGCTCCTTTTTTGATGCCAGGCCTCTCAGGAGTGCTCTGGATGGGCAATGAGCAGCAGTCTTCATTAGTTCATCCATTGGGAAGAATTTCACAGGTTTAGCCCAAAACTGTTTAAAACCTTTATGCTATTTTTCCATTTGCCAGTGAAAAAGACCTAAAGACTGGACAAAGATCTCATTGTGGGTGCAGGAATTCAGAAAGCAGAGCTCAAACAAGACTGTTGATGCTGCTTTTTTGTAGCTTAAAGCTGCTTTTATTTTCTAAGTCAAATCATTAAGTCATGGCTCACTTTTCTTCCTTCAGTTATTCGGCTTTCTCATTTCTGCTAGATTCCATGTTTGTGGTGTCTCTTCCTACATTTCATAAGTCTCAGTCACATTCACCCTTACTAAGCTCCTTCTCGGTTCTTCCTTTCTCCTATCTAAGTCGGGTAAATCTTAATGTCTAGATAAACGTACCAAGATAGATTTTTTTGAAGAAGAATTTTTCCTTCTAAGAAAGTGTTTTAGCTATTGCCACGGGACAACTTTCTATAATTAGCTCTTCTTTAATACAGACTCACCAATATAATTTATTAGCCTCCAAGCTGGAGGTGAGCTTATTGAGAGAAACATAGAAATAGGTCTTAATAAAGAGCATCCCTCACCTGATCCGCTGTTCGTGTGTGCAAGGAAGAAGCTGTAGTGCCTGCAGTGAGACGCGTTGCTGAACAGCAGGGAGGTTGGCGGTGCTTCACTGTTTGAAGTGGCTCCACATGCAAACACGGCCGCTTTGGACAAATTGTGGGTTACCTCCAAGGTGTCGCAGACCGTCTCTGGGCACGCGTGCGTGCATTGGGAGGAGCAGTTAATTAAGCTGAATTGTAGCATACTGTCATCTGTCTTATACCAATGTATTCTCTTATTTTCTGTGGTAGCTAGCTGATTGCAGTGAAGTACGAGATTTCCATGCTCTTGCTGGTAAAAGAAAGTCTCACCTGTTACGAATATTCATGGTTAATCAAGCAAAATCATCTGTAAAAACAGCCAAATCTTTAAAAACGTAAAATTTGTGTTGTCAAAACAACCGAGTACATTGCCAACATAGGGAAGGACCCTGGCTTCCCCAGGGAGCTGCTGTGTTCCTCTTGGGTGCTGTTTTTAAGACCAAACTTTCTGAACTCTTCGATTGTAGCATGCATTGTCRTAAACGGCATCACTTAGATTTACAAAATGATGGCATGATACTGGGTGACTACTTGGTATTTTTAGTCAAGTAATTTTGTGGATGTTTCTGATCACATTAATGATACTAAATGCAATTTAAAGATTAAAACAAAACAAAAACAAACAAAAACCCCAAGTATTTCTTTAGTTTTAAATCCCATATAAGATATCTTTTATTTTAGCACAGTCATACACTGCATTCATGGCGTGGCAGGTTTAGCCAGCTGTCTTTTGGTGTCTCGCTAGGCGTAAATGCAGTTTCGGATCTTGCCAACACGCAGGCAGTTGAAACTGCTCGTATGCAGAACATGACTCATGCATCGCTGCTGACTTAAGAATCGGAGCTGACTTCGTTATGAGTATTT